CAGGAATGCTGGGGCTGAAGAGAGGGAATAAGGGGCAGGGGGGCTGGGAACTATGGTATCAGCTCAGTCATTGCAATAATAATACCCATTCCCTAATCAGCTCACTTTTTTTTTTCTTGAATATATCGTTAGTTGCATACAGTGAGGTTGTAGGCTAATTGTACATTTTTTCCTTAATACCCATTAAAGTAAATACACAACCTTTAATGAGTAACTGTTGCTACTTTTACCTACTGGGTGCAAAGGACTGCTCTCGGCAGTTCACGCGAGTTAAGTAACTTGGTCTCCACGATAACCTCACCCCCATTTCAGAGAGGAGAAAACCGAGGGATCCAGAGGGAGTTCATTCGCCCAGCGTCACACAAGTTCAAAATCGGAGATCTGGAATTCACACCTAGGGAACTTGGCTCCAGAGCCTTATTCTGTAACCAGTGTGCTCTGCTAGGCTTTCTTTAAATGGAAAATTATCCAGGGGACTTTCCTGGTGGTTCAGTAGTTAGGACTCTGTGCTTCCACTGCTGGGGTTCTGGGTTCGACCCCTGGTCGGGCAACTGAGATTTCGCCAGCCTACAGGGATGGTCGAGGGCCACACTCTGGGAGCCCTGCGTTAGCTTACAGTGACAGCAAGCTCTGTTATCCTCTCCCCGCAATTCCTCCTGCCCCGGGCCAGAGGGGTGATTGATGACTGATGTACTTAAGTGTCGATATCCCCTGGTACCAGGGCCTGGGACACCTGGGGGCGGGTGGGTCCAGCACACCCTGACTGCCCCGGCTGGATCTCATCCCCCTCTGCCCGGCCCACAGCGAGCTGGATTACTACGACTCCCACAACGTCAACACCCGCTGCCAGAAGATCTGCGACCAGTGGGATGCCCTTGGCTCTCTCACCCACAGTCGCAGGGAAGCCCTGGAGGTAAGGAGGGGGCGATGCCCCCCGCCGAGGTCTGTGCCTCGTTGCCCTCAGAGCAGGGGTCTTCCCCTGACCCCTTGGTGCCCCCGGACCCCTCTCAACACTGACCTCCTACTGACCTCCCTCCTCTGTCCCCGTCCCTCCCAACACGCACCAGAAAACGGAGAAGCAGCTGGAGACCATTGACCAGCTGCACCTGGAGTACGCCAAGCGGGCAGCCCCCTTCAACAACTGGATGGAGAGTGCCATGGAGGACCTCCAAGACATGTTCATCGTCCACACCATCGAGGAAATCGAGGTCCGCCCCTTCCCCTGCCGCCCTTCTCATGGCTCATGGGGCCTCCACGGGGCCGGGCTGCGCTCTCAACCCTTCTCTTCCTGCCCCCAGGGCCTGATCTCAGCCCACGACCAGTTCAAGTCAACACTGCCGGACGCCGACAGGGAGCGGGAGGCCATCCTGGCCATCCACAAGGAGGCCCAGAGGATCGCCGAGAGCAACCACATCAAGCTGTCAGGCAGCAACCCCTACACCACCGTCACCCCCCAGATCATCAACTCCAAGTGGGAGAAGGTAGGCAGCACCCACCCACCGGCAGGGCCGGGGCAGGACCAGCCAGGCGAGGGGGCCGCCCCCCTGACTGCTCCCGCCCGCGTCCCCTTACCCAGGTGCAGCAGCTGGTGCCCAAGCGGGACCACGCCCTCCTGGAGGAGCAGAGCAAACAGCAGTCCAACGAGCACCTCCGCCGCCAGTTTGCCAGCCAGGCCAACATCGTGGGGCCCTGGATCCAGACTAAGATGGAGGTGAGGGCGAGTCGCCCCAGCCCTGCTGGGCCCAGGAGAATCTCAGGGCAGAGTTGAGGAAGAGACCCCACTGAACGGGTGGCTGCTTGCCCCTGGTGGGAGGGCCCCAGTGCTCCACGGGGCTGGTGGACTTGGGGGCCTGGTGGATCTGGGACCCAGCTCTCATGGCCTCATGGGATTAGGAGCGTCAATAACGTATTCATGGAAATGGCAGCACCATCCAGAGGGAAACCATGCTCAGGGGTCACAGGTAGAGACAGGTTTGAGTCTCGACTCTCCCCTTGACTTACGATCGGGAGTCAGGCACAGTTTAACCTCTGTGGCTCAGTTTTCTCATCCCTAAAAGGATGAGGAAGACCGTTATTTCATTCCCTCAACAGACACTTTTGGGCACCGCCCTATGCCAGCCGCATCACAAGCACTGTGGTGTAGCTGTGACCAAGGTGGTCTGAGCTCAGACCCTCACTGCACCCCCACCCTGCCCTCGTGACCCAGCCACGGGAAGGCTTGTAACCATGCCGACTGCGACTCAGGCCACCACTTACGAGTGCTCACTATGCACTAGGCACCCTACTGACCGAAGTGGCCTCGCTGAAACTCACGACAGCCCGAGAGAGGATCGGGCAGGTCGGCCGCGGGGCTCAGTGCCCCCTGCACGGCTTGGTCACCCCGGGAAACGAGGTGTGGGGTGCTCGTGCTCAGGAGCACGGGTTCTGAAGTCGCCCGGCCTGGGTTCCGATCCTGGCTCTGCCTCTTAATGTCATAAGTTGCCCCCTTTGGGCCTCAGTTTCCACCTCTGTGGAATAGGCCTGTCCCAGTCTTAGGCCTCACAGGGAGTCAAGGGGGGAGCAGCGAGTTTAGCCCTGTGGAGCGTTGGTGCAGAAACCGCATCGTGGCTGCTGTTACACTGGAGGGTGGGCTGGAGGGGACAGTAAGCAGCAGGCCTTCCCAGAGGGGACCCCTGGGCAGAGGCCCCGGGCTGGAGGCGCCCTGGCATTGGGGCGGCCCGCAACAGACTGCCTCCTGGTGGCTGGTCATGGCCCAGGGTCCACCAGTCCCACCCCCCAGTAGCACCACCCTCTGTGCAGGAGATCGGGCGCATCTCCATCGAGATGAATGGGACTCTGGAGGACCAGCTGAGCCACCTGAAGCAGTACGAGCGCAGCATCGTGGACTACAAGCCGAACTTGGACCTGCTGGAGCAGCAGCACCAGCTCATCCAGGAGGCCCTCATCTTCGACAACAAGCACACCAACTACACCATGGAGGCAAGCCTGCCACGCCCCCACCCGCTTGCCCTTCCACAAGCTTGCGAGATTCCTATGGCAGCCCAGGCAGGGCCCGGCTGTCTTATTCCAAATGGCTTTTGCCCTGTAGAAGAGTGTCTCCTGCTTGCTCTGTCTCCCCTTTCTCTCTGACCAAAAAGACTAGATCCAACGTTTACACGTTTTTAAAAATCACAGTTTCTCTACCACTACTGTCCCATCACCATGACAACACACATATCAAGACAAGCTCCCTGGAGAGCTGGGAGGGCAGGGAGCACCTGCCCCCCAGTGTGTCCTCAGCCATTTTATCCTCACGCAGATCCAGCCAGCATGTGCGGGAATCCCGTGCACCGGCTCGCTGCCGCCGGGTTACAGCATCAGGGCTGGTTGCCATCATATTGGTAGCTTGAAATGGTCCATGGTGACAGCACTTAGACCATGCAGATCGGAAG